TCAGTTGCTTTTTAAACTTAGTATAGTCCTATTACAAAACTTGCACTGCTCCTCTGTAGTTTTTACCAAAATGATGAACCAACGTTGCTTCTGCAGTCACTCAAATCTGCACTGAAATCAGAAGATCGACTCGTACGACTGTTGTATTATGCCTCATGCGCGAGTGTCGCGCATATAAGTTGTCTACATGGGACTGTGGAGACCTAGAGTCCCGCCAGTATGGCTCTTGAAATCTGGATGCACCGCAAATGATGCGTTGATCATCCACTTCATGACTCGTAGTGATTCTGCAGAAAGTGTCAGGTGATACAACAATGTACAAAACAAATATTGCATCATGCGAACACACTTCTTCCAATCAGACTCTGTAGGTTCTCGAACTCTCGAGGCAAGAATAGTAATCCTTGGATGGATATCCAAACGAGCACTCTTTGAGACATAAAGTCCTGTTCCAATAGTAGTATGGAAGATCTGACGGTACTCAGCACTGAGTAACTTCCCTTTACCAGCTTCCAGTAAATTGTTACCAGCTGGTGTTTCCTGCTTTGAATCCTTGTTTAACTTGATAGGAAAATCTTCCAACATGTTCTTGACTTAGTCGTCCATGCGGATCTTAAGTTTTCCTTTCACCGAGAAATCCAAAGTCATTCCAAGATATCTGTGTATCTTTCCTCTGACGATTGTGCATGCCTTGATTGAACCATATCTCATGTTCAACCATTCAGCAAATTTGTCATTCACTTTTGGGTCCATGTGACTTGACATAAGATCGTCAACATGAAACCTGATAGTTTGCTGTTTTTAATTAACAACTTTGTTAGCAACACATGGGTCATACTGATTGGAAACAAATCCCTTTGCCTCCAAATCACTTTGAAACTGATTCTAGAATAGGAGGCTTGATTGCAACATCCCATATATAGCATGTAGTACCCGCACATAGATTACTCGCTTTCCGTTCTCTAAAACAACGTATTTGCAATACTCTATGGCCATGTCAATCAATATCTGGACCATCATGCCAGTGATTTTCATGTAGATAAGATCTTCTCCTTCCTTAGCGTCAGGCATATAAGTTTGAATAAAAGCGATAGGAACGTCCATCAACATTATATCTCTACCTTCGTGTGCATCAATAACCCAAGTAGTGGTGATTGCTTCTTACAAAGCAGTTGGACTTGCAGTGTCCTCTTGCGATAACCATTCACAAGTTCCATCCCATCGGTATACTAGGCGCCTTTAATTGTCTTTTCAAATTGCTTCTCAGCGAGTAACACCATCGCTGATTGGGCCTTCTTTCGCTCAGACACGGTCATGACTTTCACAAATTCGGGAGTGAAACAATCTCTAAGGAGCATTTGTCTCAATTCCTTATCCACAGCATCCTTTCCATCATCACCAAACTTCTTCAGTCCTTGATTGATGTAATACTGTTGAATGAAGTTCAGACCTTCATCAGTATCAAACTTGGCCTTGACTGCATCATGCAACAAGCAATCAGAATAGCGCCATGCTCTTCATAATCAGCTTTCATCTCATTCTTAATCTGTTGGAAACATAGATTGGGCTGTGCTTCAAGGATAGCTTTACTGTCTTTAGTACTGCCACTTCCTTCTTTGGTACGAATACCAGATTTTAACTTGTTCTTCAACGGTTTCAATTCTCTTTCTTGATGCTTGCATCATGTCGCAACTCGATTCTTGTTCTTATTGGCAGAACTGCCACTCCTGCTTGAAGGCCATTCTCTTGGTCTCTTTGGAACTTGAGAAAGGTTCAGCCCAGACATTGCAGCTTGGAGATATGTTTGCCCAGATCAAGTGACTTTTGCTACTTGAGGATCTTCAGGCTCAAATACAATCTCTTCTTCTGGCGGTTCTTGTAGGTCCTCCAGATCAGTAACAAGGCTCCCAATATCATCGGTTCCTCTATCAACATTTTCTTGATGGTGATCCAAATCGGCCGCAATAGGTTCTTCCTCTTCATCGCCTTCATCACCCAAATCGTCGTCTGATTCATAGTCATCATCTCCTTGGAATCTGACAGTGAGTTCTGGCATATCATCGACATCATTGTCTGCATCTGCCAAGAGCTCTTCTCTTTCGGAGTCATTGATATCATCGAATTGTCCACGTAGGTTGAAATCACGTTCATCTTCATCTTCAGGTTCATAGTCCTGATCAAAGGCTTCTTCTAAGTACCTTGTTCCGTGTCATCCACTCCTGCAATTTGATTGCCATCTTGAAATGTCTCCAAATCTCTCTTCTTATTGAAGAACTTCATGGAAGTAACACCTTTGGCAGCAGCCCAAGCTTCAACACGCTGGATTACTTGGTTGGTAACGGGTAGTACACTGACCTTGTGTCGGGAAATCATCTTCACTCGGTGCCCAGTACGTTGTCCCTTTGTATGTTAAATGTAAATTGCTTTGATACTTCAGGGTTCACTCCAGGTCCGCTTTGCCCACGTGTCAGACGCCAGAATAAAGGTGTTTGCATAGACTTGTTGGAAGAGGCCGTAGGAGGTACCAGTCTCAAGCTGGTGTGCCTGAATGACTGCCTCCAAGAAAGCGCCCGTCTTTGTCTCATTGGCAGGATGGTGAAGTAGCACGTCCAATTGCTTAGTGACTTGGAGACTGTACGGACAAGGAACACCGACTCCTTGGAGTTCAATGGGGGCATCGACCATAGCCCGAGAAAAGTTGCGGCAGATACCAGCCTTTGGAAGTGTCACCCTGAGCACTGGGGATAGTATCTGGTCCCACTCCTGCTGAGAGAAGAAGGTGAGCGCCATGGGGTACTCCAAAGTCTTCTGGATTGTGGTGCGAAGGAGAGGGAGGACATCGTATCTGTGGAGGAAGCTAGGTTGGATCTGATCCGCCCATGCTTTTGCTTTCCCCTTCATCACCACAAGTTGTGCTTTCCGGTTGGAGCAGGGGGGCATCAGGATACCTAACGTCTTTGCTGATTCATCTGGCTCCAACCACTGTAGATGCACTGGAGTGCCATCCAGATCATCCAGTTCAACCGCAATTTCCAACATTCCGGTTGGAAGGAGAGATGGTTTGAAATACACCTTGTTGGGCATTCCACTTGAAGTCAATTAGATACCAAAAGGATTTATCTGGTCGGATGGCGCCACCAGTAAGGCGGACGCCGTTGGACCACCATTTCAGTGTTTTGGCCACCTCTGGGACGATAGATTCCCCGGACTAGTCAGGCGACGGTGCCGCTTGGCATACATCAGTGTCATCAACAAAACAAAAGCAATCGGCCAAAGCCTTTGCTAATCATCATCCCCAAGAGAATGGAGCTAATTGTAACCCAGATAGGAGGTCCTGCCCCATTTCCTTGTCCACAGCCTTGGAATGGGATCAGGGTCGGAGAATTCACAAACAAACAAGTGATGGTAGCACCTCATACAGAACTATTCAAGTTGGCGATTTGGGGAATTTTTTTCAAAAATTGTCCAATTACGGAGGAAGATGTTAATATCTCTGGAAAGATATACAGACCGAGTGTTTCAACAATTAAGGGCAAACAAAAGCGACCAACACTGGAGGCGGCGGTTGATGATTGGTTCAAAATGCCCAAAGAACTCCTGAAACACAATTTGAACCTGGATTCATGCATCGATATTATGTTTATCAACAATATCGCGTTTTTTGTCAGTATTGACAAAGCGATCAAATTCAGTACTGAACTGAAAGATCGGACGAAAGATGCTATTTACAAGTCAATTGACAAAATTTTACGCCTTTATAATCATGCAGAATTTTGAATCAAAACTATTCATTGCAACAACAAAATCAAAATGGTATTTGATAACATGGATGTGACCATGAATTATGCCGCGCCGGGCGAACACAAACCAACTATTGAGCGCAGCAATCAAACATTAAAAGGATTATTCCGAGCACACGATCATCAAATGGTGTTCAAGGCAATTCCCAAGGTTTTGACTATTGCTTTACTCAAGCATGTGACAAAGGTTAGTAACTTTTATCCTGCAAAGGAGGGAATTTCGAAATATTACAGTCCACATATGATTGTGAGACAAAACCAATGGATATTTCAAAAGAATTTGTTGCTGAAATTGGATCCTTTGTACAAGGATATGGTCACACTACCAACAACAGTCAACAACCAAGAACGATTGATGGTATTTAACTTGGAGTAAATGACGGCATACAAGCAGGACATATGTTACTTGATCTTAATACAAAAAAGACAGTAACAAGACCCTATGTAACGGTACTTCCGATCACCAAACAAGTGATCAGAATTGTGGAACAAATGGCACACAACAAGGGCGTTTGTGATTTGCGTACTTATCATTGGAATAATGGTGAAATCATATTGGATGGTGATTTGCTCGCAGGAGTGGACCCAGATGAACTGTGGGATGACACATCTATTCCACAGGAAAATGAATACAAACAAAGCGATGAAAATCTTTGTAATGAAAAGATAGATCAAGATGAATTTGATGCTTTACTTGAAGAAGCGGAAGAATTTATTGAAAACTATGATGATGAGCACATGGAAAATATCAAAGAACAGACAGAAGACAGGAGTGTTGCAAGTATTTATGAACGATTGAGACGGAGAAATGATGATGATAATTCCGATCAAGATCCCAATCCAAATGACAAAATATCAGAATGATGAGGATTTATATGAAAAGATTCAAGAAATTGAAGAAGACATTCAAAAAGACAAAGAAGATGTCGAATCACTTAACGATGAAGAACAAATCGAGGAAACACGCGAAACATATGAGGAAAATGACGATTGAATTGATCGAATTCAAGATGAAATCAAAGAATGAGAAAAAATGTTGTTTGCGAATTTGTGGCGAATTTGGATGATAATGAAAATGAAAATGATGAATCTGACAATAATTTGGACGCATCAAGTGACGATGATAATTATGAAAATGATGAAGTGAATAAACAAGACCAAGAAAAACCTGGAGTGACTAAAAATGAGACAAACACAACGTAATAATTGCGATTGACTAAGGTATAATCAACAATACCTGAATCAAAGGAAACCGAAGTGCAATTTGTTAAAGATCAAGAAATTGAAAGGTTATTTGAATGAAATAATTTCAATGAAGGAAAATTCAACAAAAAGGATTCCAAAAAAAAGAGTCAAAATACAATTTACTATTCCAACAGGTTGGAGGTGACAAGAAAGCCGAATATGGAAAAGATAAGGCAACTCTGATTGCGCGATTCATGCAACAAATCAAGGATAAAGTTCAAAGTGAAGGAGTATCGTTTATCCAACAATACTGTTGGATATATTAGGATTTTTGAAGTACATATTTGGAGAGACGAGAAAAAGAGAATACATGTGAACGATAGAGAAATGATGTCGACTGATACGACTAAAAATGAAGACTGATGCGACTTAAAATATCGCTCGTGGCGAGTCAGAAAAGACAATTAATTTCTATGGAGATCATCATATTGATGATGTAAGAAAGCAAGATTCAAACAAGAACCAAAGTTGGATACTAATCAAAGTACCGACTACTATGGAAGATGAACGGATAAACAGATTGAACTTGCAGCATGTCAGGCTGACGTAGAGAGAATTCTGAGAATTTCCACTGAGCTGGAGAAGAAAGAGTCAAAGTCAAAAGTTGACAGACTGTTCTCACTTTTTATAATATATTGCAAGCAACAAGTGAATTGGTTGATAAAGTAGGATCTCTGATAGATCTATATACTTCTATATACTGTAAATTCACATACTTAGAAGGCAACAATACCTGGACAGCTAAATCGCAGTCAATTGAAACAGGTAGATTGCAGGCGGCACTGGATCGCTTACTTCTAACATATATTATAAAAAGTCACTGAATTGAATTGGGGGTCAATATATTCCTACGACTTGAAATAATAGGAACTTGCTCAGGATGAGTGGACGATTTCAAAATACTGGACGTGGATCCAATGGAAGAAATGCTGGACGAGGAAGATCGCAGCAAGGCCGAGGTAATGGTCAATACAATGGAAATAAGAGTGGCAATGGTAGCCAGAAAGAGAAGAAGTTTCATCCTCTGACTAGAGGAAACATTCCCAAATTTAGCTTTGATGAAGTGAAGAAGACATTGGTGATTAAAATGTCAACGATGAAGATGGATCATATTGATGACATGATCCAGAGTGTACGAACCTTGAGTCTGTTTGATATTGAAAGTGTGAAACCAACATTGGTATTGGTGACTAATGACAGCGATCCTGATAAGGAGATCAAGAATGAAGAAAGAAGAACTAACTATTTGGCTGATCGAAAGGATTGGAAGGCCAGGAAGAACGCGTTTGATAACAATAAACGCAATGTCTATGGAATGATTATGAAGATGTGCACCGATCATATGGTGGACAAACTTGAGCGAGAAGCTGACTTTGATAACAAACTGTTCAATGATCCTGTGGAGCTATTGATGCGGATCAAGAAATTGATGACGACTACTGTTGATACAGAATGGGAATATTTTGGTCTGTGGAAGACAATGAGCAATCTGATTAATTGCCATCAAAAGGAGAAGGAAAACATTGCAAGTTTTCGTAAACAATTTGAAGAAAGGGCGAAGGCATTACAAGCTTTGCTTGGTGATGATTTTTTGGACAAATTTACTGAGAAGAGTCAGGAATATGATTTATTGGGAAGCGATGCCGCATATAGGGATTATTCGGACGCAAATGGTCGTGGTAATTGGCAAAATATGCAACGTGATGATAATGCAACGCGTGATGATAATGAATTGGGAGAATCAAACACTCAATGGAGCTATGGACATTCCAACAATGGATCCCATGGAGGACTATTTATTCAACAAGGACATACTGACAATAATCCAAGACAACAAGGGATGATGTTATTTCAACACAACAATAATGGTATCCACTTGGATAGTGGATCTACTTTTCATTTGCGAACCAATGAAGATGACTTTATAGAAGGAAGTCTGCAAGGAATTCATGGAGGATTCCATTATGCCTCTAATGTTGAGGGAAGAGAACTTTATTGAGAAGGAATTGATAAGGTATTTGATTCTGTTTGTAAGCTTGACACACTAGCTAGTGACAACGTCAACAGCTTGTCGAATATGGTACAAGATGGATTTGATGTATTTATGGACACAAAGAGAGAGAACACCTTGTTTGTGACTAAAAATGGGACTACATGGCGATTTGGACATCGCAATGGATTATATACTTTGGTTGACGAACCTGCTATGGTAACAACAATGTTTCATGACCATGCACAAGGACTTGATAATAACGATGTGCAAGGGTACTGTGCTCTACAGAGTGTGGAGAAGAACAAAGAGGGTTACACAAACAAACAAGTGAAACAAGCAAATATTGCACAAAGTGGCTATCATATGATGTCAAGATGGCAATTTGGGGAAATTTTTCAAAAATTGTCCAATTACGGAGGAAGATGTTAATATCTCTGGAAAGATATATGGACCTAGCGTTTCAACAATTAAGGGCAAACAAAAGCGACCAACACCAAAGGCGGTGGTTGATGATTGGATCGAAATGCCCAAGGAACTACTGAAACACAATTCGAACCTGGATTTATGCATCGACATTATCTTTATCAACAATGTCGCGTCTTTTGTCAGCATTGACAAAGCAATCAAATTCCGATTCAGTACTGAACTGAAAGATCGGACGAAAGATGCTATATACAAGTTGATTGACAAAATTTTACGCATTTATAATCATGCGGAATTTCGAATCAAAACTATTTATTGCGACAACGAATTCAAACCGGTTAATTGATGACGTGAAAGATAATATGGATGTGACAATGAATTATGCCGCGCCAGGCAAACACGAACCGACTATTGAGCGCAGCAATCAAACATTGAAAGGATTATTCCGAGCACACTATCATCGAATGGTGTTCAAAGCAATTCCCAAGGTTTTGACTATTGCTTTACTCAAGCATGTGACAAAGGTTAGTAACTTTTATCCTGCGAAGGAGGGAATTTCGAAATATTACAGTCTACATATGATTGTGAGACAAAAACCGGTGGATTTTTCAAAAGAATGTGTTGCTGAAATTGGATCCTTTGTACAAGGATATGGTCACATGACCAACAACAGTCAACGATCAAGAACGATTGATGGTATTTAACTTGGAGTAAATGACAGCATACAAGCGGGACATATGTTACTTGATCTTAATACAAAAAAGACAGTAACAAGACCCTATGTAACGGTACTTCCGATTAGCAGGTGATCAAAATTGTGGAACAAATGGCACACGTTTGTGATTAGCGTACTTATCATTGGAATAATGGTGAAATGATATTGGATGGTGATTTGCTCGCAGGAGTGGACCCAGATGAACTGTGGGATGACACATCTATTCCACAGGAAAATGAATACAAACAAAGTGATGAAAATCTTCGTAATGAAAAGATAGATCAAGATGAATTTGATGCTTTACTTGAAGAAGCGGAAGAATTTATTGAAAACTATGATGATGAGCACATGGAAAATATCAAAGAACAGACAGAAGACAGGAGTGTTGCAAGTATTTATGAACGATTGAGACGGAGAAATGATGATGATAATTCCGATCAAGATCCCAATCCAAATGACAAAATATCAGAATGATGAGGATTTATAAATGAAAAGATTCAAGAAATTGAAGAAGACATACAAAAAGACAAGGAAGATGTCAAATCACTTAACGATGAAGAACAAATCGAGGAAACCCGTGAAACATATGAGGAAAATGACAATTGAATTGACTGAATTCAAGATGAAATCAAAGAATGAGAAAATCAAGTCAATGATGTTTGCAAATTTGTGGCAAATTTTGGATGATAATGAGAATGAAAATGATGAATCTGACAATAGTTTGGACGAATCAAGTGACTATGATAATTATGAGAATGATGAAGTGAATAAAGGGGACATATTCAGTCCAAGGAAAACCAGGAGTGGTAAATCCTATGTTCAAGACGGAATAAAAATGAGACCAACCAAACGTAAGAATTGAGATTGACCAAGGTATAATCAACAATACCTAAATCGAAAGAAACCGAAGTTTAATTTGCTAAAGAACAGGAGTGCAATGAGAAAAAAAGGAAAAAGTCAAGAAATTGAAAGATTATTTGAATGAAATAATTTCAATGAAGGAAAATTCAAGGAAAAGGATTCCGAAAAAAGAGTCGAAATACAATCTACTATTCCAACAGGTTGGAAGTGACAAGAAAACCGAATATGGAAGAGATAAGGCAACGCTGATTGCGCGATTCATGCAACAAGTCAAGGATAAAGTTCAAAATGAAGGAGTATTGTTTATCCAACAATACTACTAAATAAGGGACTGAAATTATTCAAAGATGAAGGCAATAAGGCTGTGACAAAAGAACTTGATCAATGGATACAAAGAGAATGTTGGGAACCAATTCATGTTGAAGATATGACTGATTTGGAAAAAAGAAGAGCCCAAGATGCTATGATGTTATTAGCAGAGAAAAACACTGGTGAAATAGAAGGAAGATGTGTATACAAAGGAGATGGAACTCTAGAATGGCTATCTCCAGGAGATACTTCAAGTCCAACTGCAGCATTGGAAGCAATTATGATCACATGTGTAATTGATGCATATGAAGGACGAGATATGATGTCTTTGGATATTCCAAATGCATTTATTCAAACTCAAATGCCAATGGATGCGAAATCAAGAGTGATGATGAAGATCACTGGTTTATTGGTTGACATGATGATACGACTGGAGCCAAGGTATTGTGATTACGTTGTAATTGAAAACGGAAAACAAGTGATTTATGTGAGAGTATTACGAGCCATCTACAGGATGTTAGAGGACAAAAAGTTGAGAGGAGACATGGAGAAACATGGCTTTATTTTCAATCCATACAATGGATGTATTGCCAACAAGATTGTGAACGGCAAACAACAAACTATTCGATTTCATGTGGACGATCTATTATCAAGCCACATTGATCCAAAAGTGAATGATGATTTTTGTGAATGGATGAATCAAAAGTATGGTTCAATCAAACCAGTCAAATCCAAGCAAGGAAAAATTCACGAATATTTGGGAATGACCCTAGATTTCAGTAAAAGGGGGAAAGGCAAAGTCCGAATGGATGACTATGTTAATCGAATGTTGAATGAATTTCCTGTGAAATTCAAGGAAAATGAAGGGTGTAAGACACCAGCAAGTAACAATTTGTTGTCAATTGGAAAAGGAGAAAAATTGGATGATGAGAAACGTGAAACTTTTCATACATTCATCGCCAAAGGATTGTTTCTGAGTAAGAGAGCGAGATTGGATATTGCTCCAACTATTTCAGTACTTTCTACAAGAGTACAGAAACCAAATCAAACTGATTGGAAGAGGCTAGTGAAGCTGATGTATTATCTGAATGGAACAAAGGGAATGTACCTGACACTGAGTGCAAAAGATTTACAAACTTTCAAATGGTATATTGATGCATCATTTGCAGTTCATCCAGATTTCAGAAGTCACACTGGAGGTGTATTGACTATGGGTGAGGGAGGATCGCAAATAATCTCAAAGAAGCAGAAATTGAACAGTCAAAGTTCAACAGAAGCCAAATTGATTGGTGTTGATGATGCTGCGACACAGATATTGTGGACAAAATTGTTTGTGGAAGCACAAGGTTATCCTGTTGAAGAGAACATCCTATACCAGGATAACAAGAGTTCTATTCTATTGGAAAAAAATGGACGTGATAGTGCCAGAAAGCGAAGCCAAGCTTTGAACATTCGATATTTCTTTATGACTGATCAAGTCAAGAAAGGAAATGTGACTATTGAATATTGTCCAACTGAAAAGATGTGGGGAGATTTCATGAGCAAACCTCTACAGGGACAAAAGTTCTTGGATTTCAGATCATTGATTCAAGGAGAACAAGATTAGGAACAACAGAATTTACTTTGATGTTCCGTTGTCATCAACTATGTTAATGAAACGACAGGAGTGTGTTGGATATATTAGGATTTTTGAAGTGCATATTTGGAGAGACGAGAAAAAGAGAATACATGTGAACGATAGAGAAATGATGTCGACTGATACGACTAAAAATGAAGACTGATGCGACTAGAAACATCATGCGTGGCAAGTCAGAAAAGACAATTAATTTCTATGGAGATCATCATATTGATGATGTAAGAAAGCAAGATTCAAACAAGAACCAAAGTTGGATACTAATCAAAGTACCGACTACTATGGAAGATGAACGGATAAACAGATTGAGCTTGCAGCATGTCAGGCTGACGTAGAGAGAATTCTGAGAATTTCCACTGAGCTGGAGAAGAAAGAGTCAAAGTCAAAAGTTGACAGACTGTTCTCACTTTTTATAATATATTGCAAGCAACGAGTGAATTGGTTGATAAAGTAGGATCTCTGATAGATCTATATACTTCTATATACTGTAAATTCATATACTTAGAAGGCAACAATACCTGGACAGCTAAATCGCAGTCAATTGAACAGGTAGATTGCAGGCGGCAGTGGATCGCTTACTTCTAAGAAATACTACCTAAATAAGGGATTTAAATTATTCAAAGAAGAAGGTGATAAGGCTGTGATAAAAGAGCTTGATCAATGGATACAAAGAGAATGTTGGGAACCAATTCATGTTGAAGACATGACTGATTTGGAAAAAAGAAGAGCCCAAGATGCTATGATGTTATTAGCTGAGGAAAACACTGGTGAAATAGAAGGAAGATGTGTATACAAAGGAGATGGAACTCTAGAATGGCTATCTCCAGGAGATACTTCAAGTCCAACTGCAGCATTGGAAGCGATTATGATCACATGTGTAATTGATGTGTATGAAGGACGAGATATGATGTCTTTGGAAATTTCAAATGCATTTATTCAAACTCAAATGACAATGGATGCAAAATCGAGAGTGATGATGAAGATCACTGGTTTATTGGTCGACATGATGATACGACTGGAGCCAAGGTATCGTGATTACTTTGTAATTGAAAATGGAGAACGAGTGATTTACATGAGAGTATTGCGGGCCATCTATGGGATGTTAGAGGCCTCTATGCTCTGGTACAAAAAGTTGAGAGGAGACATGGAGAAACATGGTTTTATTTTCAAAACAACAAAAATACAAAAACAACACACATATCCGGGTCCTCAAAACATCACTTTCGGTACTTTGCCTACACAAGTTTTCTGTAGCAAAACGAAACTCGCTCCTCCTTTTTGCATCAAAAGTGACAATGGAAAAGTCCAAGAACAGCAAGAAAGTGGCAATCGCTGCTAAACCTGTTAATTCTACTGCTCTTACTCAGGGTCGCATCAGTTTTTTACAAAACAGCAGAGCTGAAACCGCCGAAATTCGATCAAAAAAGGAATCTGACAATTTGGACCCTCCAATCGTCAACAACAACAGCGACACCGAGATGGAGGAGGTCGAGAATAAACTGAAGTACGATCGCATTGTCCAGAACATCGATTCGTCTTAGTGGAACCTGCAAACCCTTGCCTATTTATGCACAATCCACCATGCTCATGATCAACGCAACAATAAAAAAGAAGGGGTCTTTGGAAACAAGCTGTTCGTGGCATGGGAGAACGAGCCCGATTTCCACTGGCCTTGGTGCGAAGGGTATTCTGAAAATTTTGTAGACCCTCTGGCGACTGAATCCTTGGAGGAAGCAGCCGAGAAGCTACTACAGATATGTGACGGGGACTGGAACTTAGCCGAGCAATGCATTTGAGCTGCGCTTGACCGAGACATCAAGGACAAATTTATTGGAAACGATCGGGGCTCGTCGTCTATGTCCGAGGACTGATTCTTGGGCTGGTGGTACAGGATCCTCTGGTGATTTTTCCGTTGGACGACCCAGTGGAGGAGAATTAATTTTTCAATTGGTATTGGGATTTTACTTTGGAGGTCGAGCCCCTACTGGAATTACGTCCTCTGGCTACAGTGTGGGCCATTGCGGTTGAACTTCTAGGCCACCCGTGGACCAACCCCAACACGATGACGGTAGTAACGGAATTGGCTGAGCGTCGCTCAGCAGCCAAGAGCCAAAAACGTGAGGGCGATCTGGACCCATCAACAAAACGAAAATCAGCTCCAATTGACCCTCGCTCTCCTGCGCGAGGGTTCTTTCCGGATGCCACCCCAAAACCAGTTCGCGACGCTGTTGCCCCCAATAAGGATGATTCGGTGATGATGGACACAACGGGTCAATCGGTAATTAGCGCCACGAATAAACCAGTCAACGGCGAGTTTGCTTATTGGTCCGACAACGATGGGTCAGAGTCTGTTGAGTCGGCTCCAGACTTTTTGGCACCATCGAATTTGGACAAACCTCCTACTGAAGAGGTTGCGGGAAAGTCACCTGCCCCAGCTCAGCGGGCCAATGACCCCTTGGCAACAGTATTGATCAACTCTCACTTGTCGAAGACTGAGCCTCCCAACCCTCCTCAACCTTCAGCTCCTCTGTCTGTGAAGAAGCAACTCACTTATGTTGCCGCCTCACAGAAGAAGGCTGCTATTTGGACCAAGCACCTCTCTGAAGAAATGAAAGCCCGTGAAGTGACACAGATGAATCTGACTGGGCTTCCTCGCTCAAACGCCCAGTTCCTCTGTGCTACAATCAACTATGAATGGGATGGCTACACATCTGAGGGTGGGTCGATTGAAAAGTGTCTCACTGAAGAAATGGTCTCTGTTCTGTCTATGGCTATGGACAACGCTGAGGGCGACTTGGTCATTCTTCCAGTGAGCGAACTCCGTGTACGGGACAAGAAGTTGTGGCTGACCTCTAAGGAGAAGGTGGAGGAGCTCACCTACAAGAAGCTCAAGCCCTACATTGACTGGTCCTGGAATAATGGAGCCCAATTTGGCTACAACGCTAAAACCCCGGCTCCAAGACTCTTCGCACCCGCATTTGCGTCGCCCACAATTCTTCACTGGACGATATGTCCCGACTACTGGGTCAATGTTTTGAGATCACTGACACGTATGCAGGCGTTTTCCGTTCCCCGCTGCAAGTTAGTTACCCTGTCCGAATCGGTTGGCTACTGAACTACCCCATGGGGATTGGGAGAGTGGCACTCAAACGCGAGCTCATTCGTCACTTCACCTTCAAGAGAGCTATCGCCCTAGAACCTGCGTGGCCACAGAACCCCGGTACGGTGGGCCAAAAATGGATGCCCTCCAAGGGTCCAAAAGCGTGGCACATTTGGGTAGCGGCTTCTGACGTGGATAGAGTGGCACGGGCCCTCTTTGCATGGCTCAGGCCAGAGACAAAGAAGTGTCACATGCTGTTTGGTGCTCGGACTCAGTTTATCTACGACTGGGGGGCCATTACAAAGGGACACTTAGGTGACCTCGCGCAACCAGGGGGGCAGTGGAATGGCATCATTGGGAAACTCATCAACACCCATAACACTACCTCCCAGACCTGCACCTCCCTGGCTCCACTGTTTCCTATTCAAGGCATGCTGACCAAGGTCTTCATTCCCAAGTAATGCAAACAGGGCAAGGGCAAATCCCTCCTCCAATTCCTCTAAGCCATTCAGTGCATACCAGCTGTCAAAAACCCCCCCCCTGCTCAGCCTGAACAACCAACCACACTGGATGCCGACACTCCAGACTCTCCATTGCCACCTTCCGTGTCTTCTACTCCTCCAGAACTGAAACCAACCAACCCAAGCGTAACTGCCCCCACCACAGCTCAGCCAACTCTACCCGCCTCATCACCGCCGGGCCAAGCAACCTCTTGAGAAACCTATGGAGCCCCTCAGGCTACTACCCCCACCCCTCTTCTACGGCCCACTCCGGCACTGAAGTCTACACCCCAGGCAGCAACCAACCCTCCTACGGCGTCTTCCGCTTGGGCGAAACTTTCTGCATCTGAGCAGCCCCTGGTCACTGAGGCATTTGATCACAGTGCATGGCTGGCGGCAATGGATGCGGAACTGAACCAGCCGGTCTCTTCCAAATGATTCTACCAGGCCCAATTGATGGCTTCTATGTGTTTGTGGTGCGCCAAAAGTTTGCCTCATTGGCACAGGAAGTTCTCAAGAACCTGGCGGCTTGAGTCATGGCAGGACCTGAAGCATCAGAGAAAGACATGCCGCACCTGGCTCTGCTTGGACCACTATAATCGAACGGTTACCAACGCTATGACATGGGACCAAAGCCAACATCGTGCAATCTGGGAGTATGAGCGGGACGTCGATTTGGACCAGCAAGTGGAGAAGGATAATAATGAGTGGATTGAGAAGCTCCTCGCGGCAGAGCAGGCTTCTCCGGAATTTGAGGGCACCATCACAATTGACCTGTCGATGCTAGCTGCAAAGGGCATGGATGACAGGGCTACGGTAGGCAGCGCGGCAAATATGGCAGCACTATTGGAGAACATGAAAGCGGATGTCAACGACCTTCGCACGGAATTAGAGACTGCGGCGGAAAAACTGGCTCGAGCTAAGGATGCGGAGGCTGCCAAGGATGCTCGTATCCTTGAATTGGAGGCCAAAATGGCGGAACAAGCATTGGTCACAGGCAAGCACCGTTCGTCAAGCCCCTCCTCCAGCAAGGCAACATCATCGGCTGACAGTGGGGGTCCCTAACCACCAACGGTCCCGTCACGCAAGGTTGCAGCGTTTGACAGAAGGCCGAGGTTGAAATCTACGCAACCAACACACATCCAGCCAGGTGGCCCACTCCTCGCTGGATGCTTATTTAAACTCTCTCCCTCCCGGTAACTACTTTGGCAATGACTCATGCCAGAAGTCTCCTCGCGTTACCCGGGTCCTTTTTCAAAATGTTCAGGGTCTTCCATTTCCTATGACACATGAGAAACAGAAAGGGCTCTTCAAGTGTTGGACGGATGAGAGAGTGGGCATTGCACTGCTGGCTGAAGTTAACCTTCAATGGTCAGCAGTGCCCAGAGGACACAAGTGGTTTTGGGTCGAGTCCTTCACTAACCAGGGACATTTCTCTTCAGTGTCTTACTATGAACACCAGGAGTTTCCAACTCCCTCGGCGCATCAATGGGGCGGATGTTCTGCTACATTACTCCACAAGGTCGCGCGCCGTGCAAAGTCAGGCGGCAAAGATGAGTCAGAGCTAGGCAGGTTCTCATGGATCAAGATCCGGGGCAGGGACATCCGACAACAGGAGTCTCAGACTGATGGGCCCCCTGCTGGTCCTTTAGATCTTGTGGTGGTCTCGGCATATCGTCCGAACAAGGAAGGTACCAATGCTGGTAGTGTTTGGAACTACCAACGGCATCACTGGCTGAGCAAGGGGGTGACTATGGATCCCCGTGACAAGCTCACACTGGATTTGGTGGACCTGATCAAACAATGGAAAGCGGAAGGGTGCGAGATTCTCCTTGGGTTAGATGCAAACGAAGATGTCTCCTACAACTCTCCCTCTTCCTTCCGCCAAGAGATGCGGTCTGAAGGCCTGACGGAGGCCATTTTACGCCAACATCAGGACCCTTACCCAGTGACAACCCAAAGTCGGACAACGGATACTCCCATTGATGGTATATTTGTGACCGACGGCGTCCATGTAACGGCAGGTGGATACTTGGACTTTCAGCAGTATTTTAAGTCGGGCCACAGGGGACTCTGGATTGACATTGACCTGGAAGCGACTCTGGGGGCCCCACCGGTGACCTCTCCTTCCTTCCAACCACGTCGGTTGACACTGGCTGATGGCCGGTCTGTGGACCGCTATATTAAGGCTGCGGAAGCGGGCTACCGGAGGATATTTCGGTCCAGGACGGTTACCTTACGGCGAATCAGGAAGCTCGATTCAACACCATTCATCGCCAGGCCTATGAGATCCGCCGAAGGGCTGAGCGCAACTGCCGGAAACTGTCGATGGGTAAGGTTCACTGGTCAACCTAATGGGATAGGTTGCACCTTGGGCCATAGACAGGTCAGGACTAGTTCACGGAAGGTACGGCGTTTGTTGAAGAAGACCGGGCTGACCAATGCATGGAAATTATCAGAAGCTGACCTACAGGCAAAGTGGCACCTTGAACATCAAGCCTACAAAGAGGCCAAGCGGAAGTGTGCCCATCATTGGCGCCTTGAATATCTGGAGACCTGATCGGCAGCAGTCCGAAGAGCAAAGAAGGGCAACATCAAAGCTTGTACCAGACGGACTCGAGTCAAGCGGATGGCACAAAAAGAAGAGACCCGACCGCGACGGAAAGCTCAAGGCAAAGGCTTCTCTGGCGGCCTCCAGCAGATCAAAGTGGCCCAGGTGGCACAGGATGGTACCTCCCATTGGGTAACATGCCAGTCTAAACGTCTTGTGGAAGAAGGCTGCATGCAAGAGAACTGGCTCCAGTATGACCAGACCCGCTACCCCTACCCCACTCCACCCATGACTGAACCTTTGTACCCCGACTTCAATGGCCCCAATGCCGAAAGAAACAGCCAAGCACTGCTCCGGGGTCTCTGTGACGCCGAGACAGCGGATCCTTACCTGGTGTCATTCCTGGACCATTGCCGACGGCCGGAGGGCTTGGAAGACCAGCCACTGGAAGTGGACCTGGAGGACCATGTTAGCTTCTGGCGTAAGATGGGGGAACACAAAGGTTCGGAGCCACACGGATTGCATAATGGCCATTTCAAAGCGGGAGTGGCATCCCACTTGCTTGCCTGCTGCGACACGATCTTTCGCTCCATCCCTTTTGCTACAGGATCTGTCCCAACTTTGCAATTGAGAAGAAACCAGGCGAGATTTGGGTGGACCTCATGCGCACGATTCAAATGATGAATTTGGAGCTGCAGGCCAACAACAAGAGAGTGGGGAAATCGGCCATGGCCTATGCAGAGCAGCACAACTTGATCCAAAAGGGACAACATGGGTCTCGCAAGCGTCACCAGGCCATCGATCTGGCCCTGACAAAGCGTCTCACTTGGGACCTACAAGCATAATTGCAACAGGGACATTCAGCCTGCATGTATTCAACTATGCCTGGACATTGACAAAGGTGAATATGAATGTGACATGGCTTACCAAATCATCCACAAGTGGTCAGAAATTGACAAGGACAACCCCATTGTTTGGAAGCTCAAAAGAGTTGTCTGCCACCATCACTACATTCAACATGAACACCCTTCTTACCTGGGTCTGACCTACAGTGTGGCCATTGGATGGAAACATGGGGAGAATACCCCAAAACCAACTATAGGCTTATAGTCTATATTCATTTCTTTCTGTCATTACAGAATATGATAATATCATCAAATATATACTGGTTTTATTTGTTCAATGGTTTTGAATCGAAGCTCAAGTACTAATAATCCCTGCTTCTTTTCTGTCATCATCCCTCCACTAACGGCATGTGGTTGTAGATCTGTTGTTGCTTCTTTTTTAACTTTCTCTGATCCACAAGAGCTTGATAGACACAGGATTGCTTGATCTAAAAAAGCCAGTTGCTATTGATTGTAGAATCTTGAATACATTCAACTATGAAAATGAAAAGTGATTTGTGAGGACTTCTCAGTTATCACATACTGTACAATGCAGTCAACTTAGCAAACTTCTTGAATTGGCAATGGATGTGACATGACTGAGTCATGTCACGTTATCTGAAACTGAAAACACATGCATCACATCATAACCCTGTGGGAACAATTTCAAACAATGTGTGGGTCCAAACCAAACTTCAATATGTTGTTACATTGTGGGAGCAATTTCAAATCAATGCAGATGCTGGTTCACAAGGGGCAGATGCAAAGCTCGCAGCAGCAGCCAGCATGATGCAACCAAAAAGAAGGAAGGTTGCAAATGACATGGAATTTGGCAATGGAAATGAGAATGATGATCATGGAGTAGCTAGACAACAATGGATCCCATTTCGATGATGATGATGATGATGATGATGATGATGATGATGATGATGATGATGGCTATGCATGATAAGCCAAGTAAAGAGCAGCGCAATGATGAAAACACTACAGAAAGAAGCAATGATGAATCTGGACACAAAAGTAATTTTCTAGATATTCCTTTATTCAAACTCCTGTGTCTACAACAGGCCAAGCTTGAATCACCGCAGAGCCCATTTGATGTTCTGGCAAATACCTTATTGAAGCCTCACTGGTATCAGTTGTTCTACTGTGAAACTGAAGAGAGCAAGGCTTACAAAGATATTGGAACATTCCACAAGTTGCTTGGGTTGAGCCAAAAGGAGTGCTTGGACGTTCTTGTTGCTTCAGCACTTGTAATACCAAACATGCACTGTCAAATGAAAGCAAAGAAAGCAATATTTGAAAGAATTTGAGGTGTCATGGAAGGTGGCTGTTGGCGGTACTCGATTTTTCATTTTGAGAAATGGAGAACTGGAGGATTCTTTGGACTTAAATATTCCATGGATCTGATCCATGATCAATCATGGAATACAGGTTCCCGTATGACTAATAGGACTGTACAATTGGACGGTTTGGAAGTACGGTAGCGCAGACAGACCAGCTTCTAGAATATTCTGGGAAGTTTGTAAAGCTTTATTTTATATTTTATCCCTGTTGACACTCTGTGTTGAATCGATACAGAGGTGAAAGAGCAATGCAAATCCTATTGGGATCTGTGTTCTTGCACACATCTGGAAGGTCGAGAGAACTGTTGGAAATGTTAGAGACAAAATCTCTGGCATCGAACGAGCCTTCAAGGGTGCACGAGACTTCATGTACACTGAGACTGGCGTTCGGTGGAGCAAAGCTGATTTGCCATTAGTGACTCACCAGTCACAAACGCCAATCACATTTATTACAATTACATGTCCCATGGCATATTGGTTGGAATGTATTGGTCGGAGTATGACTGGTACTTGTGGACGTATTAGCTTACGACAACGAGAATCTTTAGAACAAGGAGAAAGCGAATTTTCAGAATACAGTGCAATTGCAAAGAGTTTTGCAATCCTCATTGTTTTCTGAAAATTCTAAAAGACTAAAGTGATTTACAGCACACCTGCGGTGCGGATCAATCTGTTCTATTAATTAGACAGGACAGTCACTTCATAGGTGCTGTCAATCGGCATTTCTGGCATTGCCTCAACGTTTTCAGAAAACAAGATGCCAACTGAAAGCGACGACCAAGGCGAGTCGCCTCCAGACCCTGCCCACAGCGGGTCCGACCAAATCCGACCAAGGAGCAGGAATCGGCGAGGCAAGCAAAAGAACAACACCAACTTTGGAGCTGCATCCAAGCCCCCTTCAACTGTGGAACCAGAGCTCAAGGGATATTACTATGAGCTCCCAAACGTGGATCCAACAGTGCCCCCATTCCTCCAAGTCGTGAAGGCCCACATTGCTTACTTTGTGTCAAACCAAAAGGATGCTTCCGATTGCCTGATGGTAGGAGAATCAACTTCAATCGCCAAAGACCCATTCTCTCTGCCTCCTTTGGTTGCACCAAACCTTCCGGATTGGGACAACAGACAGGAAGAACATGATTACTTAAAGAAGGACAAAAAGTATGAGGCTGAGAAGTCTGTGCGCAAGGCAAATGAAGCAGCTCTTTGCGCAATGTTGAAACGCCACTGCTCCGCAGCATTCCTGAGCGCTGCTGAGAGCCATCCAAAGTGGAGCACGGTCATCGCGAACAACAGCTCAATGGACATGCTCAAGGTCTTCCAGATCGTGGCGGCCACGGGCGGATCCACCAACGTTGATCCAACCATGATGGGTGTCGAAGCTCAAAGGAAGGCTTACACCTGCAAGCAGAAGGAAAACCAGACCAATGCAGAATACCTCCAAGTCTTCATGCAGCTTTCCAATACGGCCAGATTCTGCGACTGCCCCATGGGAGCCTCCCTATCCAGGCTCATCCAAGAGACCGGCAAGTCAGACCCAACACTGGCTGAACTGAGAGCGGTAGAAGAGAAGATTGTGGAGAAGGAGATGGCAATGGCTTTTCTCCTCGGAGCCGACAGAAAGCGGTATGGGAGCCTTATTGCCCAGGCCAACAATGCAAGACTGTTCAGCGGAAGCGACACGTTTCCCACCACCATGTCAGGAGCTATCGAATTGCTCAACAACAGCAGGCCACTTGTTACCTCGTATCATTCAAGCATCCGCAGCTCGGAAATCGGTGCGTCATTCCTTGCCGACGGCCAACCATCCACTGAGAGCGGGTCGGGCGGTCGCGGCGGCGGTTCCAACGGAAGAAGCGGCGGCGGTCGGAACGGCGGACGCGGAAGCAGCGGGCGCGGTAGTCGCGGGCAAGATTTTGAGCGACGTCCGAATAGAAACCACGAACAACACAAAACTCACATCACTGACACATCCAACAATAACAATAACGATGAAGTTGATGAGTATTCGGCCACTGAGGAACCTAGCGATTCAATCAACCCAGTCAATACTGACTCCATGGCAGTTGATGAAGACGTTTCCACCACTGAGCACCTCTTCCTCCATTCCAACAACAAGTCGTACGTGAAACTCATTCTGAAGCGACACCCCCAATCCGGCCTACCGGTAACATGGATGGTTCTGGACACTGGGTCTACAGCAAACATCTTTTGCAATTGATCACTACTACAACACATTCACAAGGTCAAACATAAACTGAATGTCTGATGCAATGCAGGAGTAGTACAATTAACATGAAGGGATATTTTGGGGATTATCCGGATCCGGTATGGTTCAACCCCGATGGGATTGCCAACATCCTATCATTCCATGATGTCAACAAGCACTACCATGTTGTGTATGACAACAGGGGAGCAGACCAATTTGTGGTGGACTTTGGCGGCACCAAGAAAGTCGAATTCCTCCCAACCGACAAGGGATTGTATCACATTAACCTCAATGACTACTGCAAGACTTCATGGACGTTCCTGGAAACCGTGAAAGGGCAAAAATGACAGCCATGTAAGGACCGAGGTGGGACCTGTTGAAATTGCTCTCTTGGAGACCATTCATTGGAAACTCCTTGATAGAAGCAGTTCGACACGTCCGATCGGACACATGGACAAATGTCCGTTTGGTCCGTTAATCAAAGATTACCCGGCGCCGCCTCCACTCCTGGGCTTGAATCGCATGATGTAGTCTTTGTCTGTAGAGATCGCGCATGTATGCTACCATGAAAAACTGTGGCAAAAGCCTGATGCTACATACGAGAAGCGAGTAGGTTTGGCACAGTAGCGAGGTACTAAGTTAGTGACTGGTTTGCACCGAGGTCGAATCATAGGATTCGAAAGGGACAATCGATAGGATTGACAGGCAAACCCGGACCAAATGGGGTACCGAGCTATGGTGCAAATGAGAGAGAGGGTGGTGAGGGCGGGAAAAGCAAAAAAGCTGACGGTCTTGACCGAGCAGCTAAGCTCCTTCTATCGTCTCCATCATCCCACAAGCTCCCATTGCGAACAATGTCTTCTCCAAATCTTCCGCCCTCTTCGTCGACACTCTTCGCTCCGTCCACCAACCGTGTACTTCACTGAAGCGACGCGCCGCAATCGACACGACGGAGATTGAGACTAAGGAAGAGCTAGAAACGCCCATACGTCTCCCGTCTTGCCGATCAATTATTCGGGGGATTCCTATGAGTCGGTTTTGCAGGGAATCTGAAAACATGGAATTGTGGGCTTGGACTAACAAACGTCTGAGCGCCACAAAAATCCCAGACTGAATCCTGCGGGAGTTCTGTACATGGGTTTTTGTACCGGCCTTTCTGGATTGCAAACATCCAGTAAAGGTTTGGGAAATTTGAGTTTTCGCGCAAGGTTTTTGCTTTGCGCATTCCATGTAGATAACAAGTCTTTTAGAATAGTTATTTCCTGTAGAGATGATTATTTCCTATTAGGCGGATCGGAGATCGCTATGGTCAGTGCCTCTGCATGACGACTTGATGGGTCGCATATTGGCACGGCTGGTTGGCAATGATGGCTTTATGGGCCACAAAGTTGTCAATCGGTTTGGACGACGACAAGCCTGTCGCTTGTCTGATGTCCGCCAGAACCGAAATCCAACTGGACCGATTCCAGACCATATCCAGCAACTCTATTCAGATGTCACATTGGCAATTGACATGTTATTTGTAAATGGTCAGCATTTCCAGACACCTGAAGTTCGGTACTGTGGAGCGCCTCACCAACAGACGCATCAAGACCATCACCAACAGCATGCGCAAAGTATTTGAACTGTACTCCTGACACAACTTCAAGGACCCAGAGTTTGAGCCTCTAAAACAACAATTCCCCAACATCCAGGTCGACTGCTGTGGTGCAGATGAGCACGTGCCGGAAGTAGAGTGCTTTATCGGCACTATCAAGGACAGGGTGCGCAGCACATATAACATGCTGCCATTTCGACGAATTCCCAAACTGATGCTAGAACACATGATTCGAAATGCAGTGTTCTGGCTCAACGCTTTCCCAGCATTGGATGGGGTTTCTGACACGCTTTCGCCTAAATACATTGTAACCGGAAGAAATGTAAAAATGAAACTCCATGTCCGCACCGAATTTGGCGCATACGTCCAAACTCATGAGGAACATTCCAATGATATGCGTGCACGCACGCTGGGCGCCATATGCCTTGGGCCCACCGGTGCAGCACAAGGCTCACACTATTTCATGAGCATTGCAACCGGCAAGCGCATCACAAGGCAACACTGGACACCACTACCCATGCCTACTGATGTCATTGGAGCCGTCAGCAACAGTGGACTACAACAGGGCATGCCCACTACACTGACATTTGCAGACCGGAATGGAATGGAGCTTATCGTCACAAGGTGTCCTTACATCCACTTGATCCTCCATTCAACTTCAGAGGTGGTTCTTGACGCAATGGGCGATGCAAGTATATCATCCATTAGACTTGACAAAACGGCATAAGCCGTCCAATGTTGATCCTTTCACGGATCGCATCTGTGTGCAATTCTGTAATCAAATTCTTTTCGCTTTGCGTTCAAATTCTTTTCGCTTTGCGTTCAAATTCTTTTTGCTTTGCGTTCTGTCTCCTCAAGTTTTCATTGATCTTGTACTGTCTCTTTTGCCTTATTTGGACTCTTCCCTTCAGACGGCTTCTCCATTCGCGGAAGCTGAGAGAAGCAGTCGGCAATCGCATCATCAAAGAATAATACCTTCTCATGCTTGTAATGGCCGAGTTGACCATCAAAAATCTCGTCTGTATTCTTCAACGCTTGAGCCAAAAGTTTGCGCTGATCTTCAGTTAGATGTTGTCGAAGGAACTGACATACTGCATCATTGGATTAGTGACTTCCCTGGCCTTGTATGCCAGCGTGTCCACATGACGTCATAATCGGACGCGACCTTCTACACAAAATGGGCTTGGATATCCAATTTTCAAACGGACAAGTCAAATGGATAGACAAGTTCATTCCAATGAAAGCTTCCTAACCCATTTCTGGAACCTGATTTGTCTTCGTTTCTTTCAGCATTCGAACAGTGAACCAGCCTAGAAGAAGAGATAGGAATGGGTCACAACATAAGTTATAGAGTCTCTCAGAGAGCCACAGAAAGGAGTGACGTAAGAGTTAGTCCTAAAGCTATGTCTGTACCTCCAAAGGGTCTAATCTAGTTCAAGGTCACTCCAAGGTCATTACACTCTTCCCTTCTATGATCAGAGCCAGTCGATTGATCATACACTAAAGTCACAAGGCGTCCTTGCATCCACTTGATCCTCCATTCAACTTCAGAGGTGGTTCTTGACGCAATGGGCGATGCAAGTATATCGTCCATTAGACTCGACGGAATGGCACAAGCCGTCTGATGTTGATCCTCTCACGGATTGCATTTGTGTGCTGAATTTCCACTGTACCATTAGTGTAAACATTTGTAATAGAATACGGACCTCTGTATTTCGGATCCAACTTTCTTCCAACCACAGTTCCCTGATGAAAACACAGGAGTGAATGCCAGAAACACAGGAGTGGACGCCAGAAATACAGGAGTGGGCAGGGGAAACACAGGAGTGGACGCCAGAAATACAGGAGTGGGCAGGGGAAACACAGGAGTGGACGCCAGAAATACAGGAGTGGGCAGCATAAGCACACAAATGGACCACCAAGATGACAGTTCCACAACCAGTGATGACAGTGACTACAGTTCGGAAGATGATGACGCCCGAGAGCAAGCTGCCGCGGACCACACAACTGGATGAATCGATCAAAGAGATCCAACAAGAGGTGCAACAGGAAGTACAAGAACTTCAGAACTTGACCCAAAATCGGAACCAACAACAAATCAATGATGACATGGATAGAGCGTATGGTGAAAGAGGACATGGAAGGAACCTTCGTCCCAGAAAATACCCAACAACTCATGGAGATCACCAGGTCCTCATCCAGGTCCCGCACAGGGACGAGCCTGTACCGGAATACACAGAGATGGTAACCTTGTTCCATCATGAAGTGGCTTTTCTTACAGAGCAAATGTCAGCAAAGAAAGGATTGAAAGTGTTTGGAGAATCAGGAGCAGAGGCCATTGTAGCGGAGATGCATCAGATACACTACAGGAATGTGTTATCGCCCAAGTACAGGAGCCAACTGACACCAGAACAAAGGAGGAACGCCTTGAGATACCTAATGTTCCTGAAGGAAAAGACATGTGGAAAGGTCAAGGCCCGCGGATGCGCCGACGGGCGCCGCCAATGTCTCTACAAAACAAAGGAAGAGACATCCGCACCGACAGTACGCACCGAGTCCTTCGTGATCACCTGCGCAATTGATGCCAAAGAAGGCCGCAAGGTCATGACAATTGGCATTCCTGGAGCATTCATGCAGGCTGATACAGACGAGGTTATCCACGTCAAGTTCAAAGGGGAGATAGCCGAACTACTAACAAAAGTTGACCCAGCCCTATACACCAAATACGTTGCATATGAAGGAAAGAAGCCGGTCATATATGCACAGCTGAACAAGAACCTCTACGGGACCTTGCAAGGAGCATTGTGCTGGTGGAAGAACCTTTCTGGGTTCCTGGTGGACGAATTGGAGTACGAGGCCAACCCGTATGACAGCTGCGTTGTCAACAAGATGATAAATGGAAAGCAAATCCCAATCGGTCAGATTTGATCGGATGCACGCCGATGCCTACACAGTTTGACGATTGGCGGAGCAGAACTGCAGGAAGTTGTCAATGGGTGGGGCGGAATGGTCCCCGCAAGGCCAATCTATTCGGGATCGGATCACCTTGTGGCGTCTTCTCCTCAAGGGTCGACGTCGGTGCCGTGTGAGCTCCAGGAAGGTTCGCCGCCTGCTGCTCAAGACGAATGAACCCTTGGCCTGGAAGATGACTACAGCTGAACTTGAGACTCACCTCACCCAAGACCTTGGTCGGTATAGAGAAGCCAAAAGGGGCCTCACTTCTAAATGGCGGAAGGCCCATGTCACCACTCGCA